GCCGCTGGACATCTTCCTGGAGGAGATCCGCTTCTACCAGCTGGGGGACGAGGCCCTGGCGGCCTTCCGCGAGGACGAGGGCTGCCTGCCCGAAGGCGGCGTGGACGAGAAGCCCCTGCCCTCCCAGCCCTTCCAGCGCCAGGTGTGGCTGCTCTTCGAGTACCCCGAGAGCTCGGGGCCGGCCCGGGGCATCGCCATCGTCTCGGTCCTGGTCATCCTCATCTCCATCGTCATCTTTTGCCTGGAGACGCTGCCCCAGTTCCGTGCAGACGGCCGAGGTGGAAGCAATGGTGGTGATGTGGGCCGAGGCTCCCCGGTGTCCAGGGGCAGTCAGGAGGAAGAGGAGGAGGATGACGATTCGTACGCGTTTCACCCCGGCATCACCCCCGGGGGGATAGTGGCAGGGGGCTCATCCTCACTAAGCACTCTGGGGGGCTCCTTCTTCACAGACCCCTTCTTTCTGGTGGAGACGCTGTGCATCGTCTGGTTCACCTTCGAGCTGCTGGTGCGCTTCTCCGCCTGCCCCAGCAAGCCGGCCTTCTTCCGCAACATCATGAACATCATCGACCTGGTGGCCATCTTCCCCTACTTCATCACGCTGGGCACCGAGCTGGTGCAGCAGCAGGAGCAGCAGTCGGCCAGCGGAGGCGGCGGCCAGAACGGGCAGCAGGCCATGTCCCTGGCCATCCTCAGAGTGATCCGCCTGGTCCGCGTGTTCCGCATCTTCAAGCTCTCCCGCCACTCCAAGGGGCTGCAGATCCTGGGCAAGACCTTGCAGGCCTCCATGCGGGAACTGGGGCTGCTCATCTTCTTCCTCTTCATCGGAGTCATCCTCTTCTCCAGCGCCGTCTACTTCGCGGAGGCCGATGATGATGATTCACTCTTTCCCAGCATCCCGGATGCCTTCTGGTGGGCAGTGGTTACGATGACCACGGTAGGTTATGGGGACATGTACCCCATGACAGTGGGGGGCAAGATCGTGGGCTCGCTGTGCGCCATCGCCGGTGTCCTCACCATCGCCCTGCCCGTGCCCGTCATCGTCTCCAACTTCAACTACTTCTACCACCGGGAGACTGAGCAGGAGGAGCAGGGCCAGTATACTCATGTCACCTGTGGGCAGCCAACCCCGGACCTGAAGGCAGCTGACAATGGACTTGGCAAGCCTGAATTCTCTGAGGCCACCCGGGAGCGGAGACCTAGCTACCTTCCCACTCCACATCGGGGGTATGCAGAGAAAAGGATGCTCACTGAGGTCTGATAGATACAGGCAGCGCCTGCACAGAAGGAAGGCACAGAGCAAAATGATCCCTTAGGGTTCCTTCTCATCCTCCACTACTTGCACCTCAGCTCCTGTTGACTTCTGACTCCCTCCCCTACATCCAGCGGTTGGCGCCAGAACCATATACCTGGACTGTCAACCTTGTTACCTGACCCCTGCAGCATCCAAGGTTTATCCATCTAAGTGACAGTTTTGAAATTCTAATGGTGCCACCCATTCATGCCCATCTTCTGTCACATGGATGAGTTTTCCATCTGACCTTCCCTCAAGACTCTGACTTTTCATGTCTGGGACTTGTAATATCTCTAGGAACAGAAATGTCACCAGGATGGAAACCAGGCACCCCTTGGTCCTGTTTCTCCTTAGCATCCTTCGCTTTGGGGCATGCACCTGTCTTCACTTCTGGCCACATGGTAACTAGCAGATGCTGGTGGACAGAAACAGTACCCATCCTGCCGTTTTCCTCCAGTGCCCTAGAACACCGGACCCTTGGTAGAGCTTTCAGCTGCACAGCCTCAAACTATGTTACTCATCTCTAATCTTGGATGGAATTAGAGAAACTACAATTAGGCTTGGCTGTTTGGAGGATCTTAGAGTCAATCTCGAACTAAAGGGGCCAATGGATTCCTCCAGGTGTCATCTGGCACAGTGGGCATCAATCTTTGGTCCACACTGAGTCCTCCTCACTCTGATCCCCTGACTCTAGCTTCCAGGAGGGTTCCCTCTCAGAGCCAAGTAAGTCTTTTTACATGCACGTGCCTTCCTGGGCAAGGAGCTGGAAAAGGGGGAGCCACAGAGCCTGGAGACACAGCTGACTAGAGTCAGGCACCTGGCTTGACTGCTTATCTGAGGATTAGACGATGCCACCTTGGGGCATGAGGGGGCAGAGGAATCTTGTCACCGACAGCAAATTTCTGTCCCTCACTTCCCCCAGCCCTCCCACTCTTCTTCCTGGGAATTTGGAGTAGGATTGCAGTTGAAGGCTTTCAAAAGTGGACTCCAGCTTAAATCCACAGACAGGTAAAAGCACATATGGGATGCTAGTGTGGGTGGGTTTTTTTCTTCCTATTTTATAGGCAATGAAATAGGTGCTTTAGAGTAAGGAAGACACATTATTCCTTTGCTGACAGCTTCCCTGTTAGAGATTTTCTGCTGAGTCAAGCAAACATGCTCCTGCTCCGGCCCTTGGAGCGGCTGTAAACTGCTCTCACTGGTGAGGTGACGGCGTGGCGGTCCCACCTGCACTAAGCCTTCGTCTTCCATCGTGAGCCCCTCCTTCTGTCCCACTTGCCCGCTTCCCCTCCTCTCTCGCCTCGTAACATTGTCATTCATGTGTTGCCTTGATAAACTGTGATTTACTGTTCTGAGCTCTCCTGGGTGCAGTTCAGAAACCGAAAGGACTGTTAACATGTTTTAAATTTTATAATCTCGGCTCTAAGACTCTTGGATGAGTAATTTTTTTTTTACAAAATATTTTCTCGAAGAGCAGCTTATGAGGGAGAGTCTCTTGAGGATTTTCCTGAGAGACACTGTGGCTCGTGTGAGTGCCAGATCTAAATCTGGATTTTGCCACACTTTACAGGGTAGCTTGGGTGCCATGGTTCCTCCTTGTGCCTCAGTTTCCCCACCCATTCAATGGGAACATTAATCTCTCCCCCCCCACCTCATGGGGAATGTTCTGTGAACTCATCTGGGGAGCCGGGAATGATGCTATGCAAATGTGTGAACTTTAGTAATGATTTCTAGTTCATTACCTTGTTTCCCCATCTCTCGCAGGCAAGGCATCCCCCCACCCAGAGTTCCTGCCTTGCATCCAGAGCCCACAGACACGCCATTCTGGGCCCTTAGCTCTTTCCGCCCCTCCTTAGCCTCTTGAACTGGGCCTCGGTCCTTCTTCTTACCCTTCAGCAAGGAGGATGCTCTTTGGACAGATTCACTGGGATCCTTCCAGAGCCAGACACCATCTTGATTGACAGCTTGGCTTCTCCAAACCTGAAATACAGTAGGAGATGCTCATGATTCAGACATCTGCCATGTCTGAGGCCATAAGGTGCCGGTGTTCCCAATCTCTTCAGTTACTCCTGGCTATTCAGGGGAGGAGAAGGGCCCCCCCAGAGGCAGAAGGGAGGCTCGTGGCCCAGGGTAAATGTGGGAACGTGTATGCACGTGTCTGTATGTGTATGTGTCCTCATCCTCTTCACCATTTCCTTTTCAAGTCAGAGCATGCCTGAAAGTCAAAGGTTTACGGAGAGCGGGGCTCTCCAGGGACTCTGGTTGCCGTAGCAACCTTCCAGATGGTTCTCCCTGTCGTCTGATTTGGGCAACAAGGGAGAACGGGAGACTACATGCTCCCAGCTTCTGAAGTGGGGACACCTCCCACATTTGGGCTTAAGGGCCAGTAGTGCCAGGACAGGGCTGCGTGACCTTCAGAAAGTGAGGGGGTGCAGGGCCCCGAAGCTTCCTCCCCAGACCTTTCCTCCCGGTTTCCCTACCCAGTCACGGAAGCTGCCTCATTTCACCCCCGAGTCTTCAGAAACTTGAATGCTAAGCAACTGCCAGTGAAACCAGTGTCCACATTATCTTTTCCAAACCGGCCTTGGAGGAGACTGGCTTCTCCAGAGGCAGCCAGGCTGAACCGCACCGAGAGTCAGACTAGTTTTAGTCCATAATGGCACCGTGGGGTCTCACGGCCTCGGAGGGAGGCTCCTCCCAGCTCTTAGAGAGACGGAGAAGTGTACTCCTTCCTCCCGGGGGACAGTCTGGCTCCTGGGAGCAAGCTCTCGGGTGATTCTTCCTAAGACGTCAAAGAAAAGCTGAGAGGCTGTGCGCTGACCTGGTTTCTGGGAAGGATTCTGCCAAGCGATGCCCCTCTGACTCTCAGCCTCTCCGTGTGGACTTTGCCCCCTGAGCACTGAGAGACTCTGTGCCCCGTGTTGCCATGACAGCTGGGGTGGCAGTCCCACAGCTGCCAGCAGCGGGGCTCAGGCCATCCAACAACGTCACACCTGGCTCAGGCCAGCAGGAGCTCCCAGGGGTCTTCCTGGATCCGCCAGGCTCGGCTGAGGCGTGGGCTGTTCCTCCTGCCTGACCGTCCCCAGGAGAGATGGGGACAGCTGGCCCGATTTACATCTGAGGTAGGTTCTCCTGTTGGGGAATTTCCTTCTGGCTCAGTCCTTCAGGCCAAATGAGAACAGGGCTGGGGAGGGGAGGGGGGAGGCAGGAGAGCGTGCATCTGGGGAGAATGAAGGCTTTATTGTCTTTGCTCAGCGGCCACCTCGCTCTCTTTCTGTGTATCTTTTTAAATCTTAAAAAAATTATGATGATTATTTTTAAGCTTTATTGGAGGGGAGGTAATTAGGTCTACTTATTTAAATACAAATTATTTTTTAATGGAGGTCCTGGGGATTGAACCTGGGACCTCGTGCATGTGAAGTTTGTGCTCTGCCCCTGAGCTGTACCCTCCACCCCCCGTGTATTTTTGACTCCATCTACTTTGCTCTCCTTTCCCGTTTCTGTGCCCTCACTGCTGCCGCCCTCCCCGAATCCCCTCCTCACCAGCCCCCTTTTCTCCACATTTCCCCCTTTCCTTCCTCTATTCACTCTCCCTTTCTCTGCCTTTTTGCCTTCTTCCCACACTTCTGGCTTTCCCCCACCTGCTGTTTTGCCCTCGTCTTCCTTCCCTGTGTGTCCTTCCAGCCGGCTCCCTCTCTCACTGCCTCACGGTCCGGGAGCGCCCGGGGGCCTGTCTGTGGCGGGCGTTCTCGGGGCTCTAGGACAGCTGTGACCACCGAGGGCGCTTGCTCAGAAGGTTGTCCTCCGGCTGGAGCACCCCCTTTCTCCTGCCATCTCCGCGCGCCCTCCTTTCCTGCGGTTCTCACCTCTGTGGGGAGAGTCGGGGGCTTCCGGAGCGAGTGAGGTCGCTGTGGGTTTAGAAAATGTCTCTGATGGAATTTCCCGAATCTGTAAGGATAAAACAGAGAAGGGGGGGGGAATGAAACTGATATGTTTTGGGTAAATACTTTGCTTGTACAGCCCTGGAATATGCCCTCCTCTGGCTTCCCCAGCCTTAAGAAACTTGCAGAAAGGCTCAAACAAAGGCCCAGCAGAAACAGTGAGGTGAACCCAGAAAGGAGGCCTCAGGAGGAAGGCACGGAGTGAAACTAGCCTGGAAAAGGCCTTCACCCAGGGGGGCCTTCTGACTGCCCTCTGTTCTCTCCCAGGCTCCCGGAACATCCAGCCGCCGCTCTCGTGTGCGCTGAGGCAGAGTAAAAGCACAGGGCGTGAATCTCAGTGATGCAAGGTGCAGGGGACACCGTGTGACAGGACGGGCTGAGACCCACCGCCCCATCCATGAGGAGGGCTGCGCCTCCTTGCCGGGGGCCCTGCAGGCTGGTCCCACCTGCACCAGGAAGCTTTCGGAGGCGGTGGGCGTTTCCTCAAATGGGATTATGGTGATGGTGGTGCAGCCCTAGAAGTTAACCAAGAAACCTCTCTGAGTTATTATTATTTTTAATGACATGAGGCTACCAGCCGAGGAGCTTCCTGTCTTGTCTGGGAGGTGGTTTGGTTTTCGACACCTAGAAGTCAAGCCTGCCTACACACGGGCCAGACTGAGGGTCAGGATGGGATGGGAGCTTCTCCCCCGCCACGTGGGGACACTTTAGAGCTTTCAAGCACTTGCTCCGTGCTACGTGCACGCACGTCCAAGAGCTGTTTGTCTGCTTTGAATTTTGACAGTGAAGCCACTGTGGGACTGACACGCCCCTTTCTTTCTGCTCCGAAGGCGGGCCGAGCCGCCTCCGGCCCGTGCGGGGCCTGGGAAGCGCGCTGACCAGCATCAGCACGTCGGATGTTCCTCACTGCGGAGGACGAGGGCAGTGCAGCTGCCCAGGGCGCTTACGCTTTGCTGGCAAAACGAAAGCAACCAAAAGCTCACAGACAAACCAGAAGACCCCACCTGGTCTCTGTGCTGTAAACTCAGGATTCCTCAGGAACCTGCACAGGAGGCACAGTGGCACCCTCCCGGCCTCCTCCCCGGCCTCCTCCCTGCGGCCGTCACTGACCCTCTGAGCCATCACACCGCTGATGGGGCCCCACTTTGACGCTTCCGTAAACAGAAGAAGTGGGGGTCAGAGTCTTCCCTTAGCGCGTCCTTTTGCAGGAGGCTCATCAGATGCCCGTCTCCTCTTGCTCTTACTTGCCTTCCGCTCACTCATCCCCCCCCCACACCTGCCCCTTGATGTTTTTGTCATGTGACACCTTCCAGTCCTGCTGCTCATCCTGCCTTCCCTCCACGGGCTGAGCTCTGGCTTTGGCAGTGTTCTGTCCCCTCCCTGGCATCTCTGCATATATGCCAAGACAGATTCCCAGGGAACTCTGTCCTCCGGGGACCATCTGCCTGGAGCCGCCATGCTGGCTCTGATGGGCTGTGACTGTGCGTTATTGCCCCGGGAAGCAAAACTGGGTCTAATTCTGGCTTGTCAGGGTCACTTAGGGAAGGGAAAGAAATCCATTCTTTAAACTGCAGGTTTGCTCTCTCCGTCGCCCTGGATGCTGAGCCCAGGGGCTGCCCAGCTCTCCAGGGGCAGAATAGGCCTGGGGTCCAGGGTTTGGGGGAAGAGGGAGGCTCCCAGATGTGGGCTACTGGGAGCCAGGGTAGATGGGCTCTTAGCCCTCTGGTTACCGTGCCCCCGGCGAACCACTCCTGTTCTGGGCCGCAGGTCCCTGTGGGGTTGGGGGTTGTCATTTCCTCCACCTCCCTCTGCTCTGAACTCCTGGAGAAAGGAGTTCACCCCGCCTCTCTGTCCTGACTGGGTCCTCATCCCCTTGGAGCCCTAACGAGGGGGTGGAAACCTACTGGTGACCACTTTGGAAAGGTTATCCAAACAGGACAGTGACTGCTTGTTCCCAGAACAGAAGGGGAAAAGGGGCGTACACTGTAGTAAACTCCATCTACGCTGGTCCCCCCTCGGCCATCGCCTAAACTACTGGGGACCCCGCCCTGGTGGGGTTTATGACAATTTTTTTTTAACATGATGCTTGCCTCATCATGGTTACTATGAAGTAGCTTTTTTTTATGAGTCTGTCAGGGACCCAGCAGACACTCTTTGCCTGACCGTAAAAAACATCTTGGAACCTTAAGCGACCTCTGTCACAGGTGCAGGGCGAGCAGACAGACCCCGGCTCTCTGGCGAGTAAGCCGGCGGCGGGGTGGGGGGGCTGCAGCGCGCAGTCTGCCGCCGCTGCTATTTTTGACGTGCTTGCTTCCTCCCAGGGCCTGACAACCGCTGTCTCCAGGAGACAGACAAACCCGCTCTTGGCAGCAGAGACATTCTGCTTTGGAAAAGAACCGAGGAAGACAGCCCTGCAGCTGGGAGGGGCCGGGCCATGCCTCCCCCTCCTCCAGGATCTAAGACTGGGGCGCCACCCGCCCTGGGGCATCCACCCTCCCCCGTGGGAGTCGTCCTAACAGGGATGAGAAGGGCACCGTTCATTTTAAACAGCATCTAAAATGCCCAGGGCCTTCAGACATGGCGTGTGTGACAGAGGTTAGGAGCCCAGACGCTGAGCCAGACAGTCTGGGTTCAAGTCCCATCTCTGCCACTTACCTGCTGGTGGCATCAAACAAATTCTGAAACCCTTCTGTGCCTCAGTTTCCTCCTCTGTAAATTGGATGCATAATCACAGTGACAATCTTTCAGGGCTTTTTGAGGGTTAGCGGAGTTCATATATATGCGATGTTTATGTAATATGTAACATTGTGTAGCAAGATGCACGCAGTGTGACATGCAGCGACATGGAGGCACTGTACAGAGGCGCACGCGGTGTGACACGCAGCCACGTGGAGGCGCTGTACAGAGGTTGGGGTGATTACCATGGGTAGGCTAGACATTGTTTTCCTCTTTGGGAGGTAAGACAGCGGAGGCTCCGAGGGCAGGCTCAAGGGCGCACAGCTACCGCGTGTTGCGGTCCGTCACCCTCAGGGGAGAGGTAACGAGCAGAACGCAGCGAGGGTCTGCTTGGTACTAAGCCAGAAGAGAGAATGAATTCATGGTTCCTAAATGTGTACATAGGCTTTTATTTCTGTGCCGGCTTGTCCTTTGATGGAAACAGCACGCATCCTGTGCTCTTCTCGCTCGGCTCAGGAGGCACAGCGCTGCCTGTGCGTCTTTCTGCAGAGCCCTCCTCTCTCCGCCACGGTCCTCCTCCCCTCACGTGTTAGCATCCTCAGGGGCTGGCACTCGCTAGAGCCTTCTCACATGCTTCCTGGCGTCCTCCTCCCTGGGGCCAACGCAGGGTCTCACAGTAAACTCTCAGGACCAATCCCATAACCGGACCCAGCTCAGTGTCTTCCTACACTGTTCTAGTGGCTTCCAAATCCCACTTCCCTCAGTGCCCCCTGTGTTCCCCGGCCACCTCCATGTCCCCATGCCCTTTCCCCTCTGCAGGTGGGGTGCCCTGTGGCATCCCTTCAGCGTGTTCCTGCTTCCTTTCAGCCTTTCAAGCAGAGGAGACAGGAGACCCTGGGTGGGAAGAAGTGGGCTCCCCGACTCCTGGGGGTCTCCATTTCCTTCCACTGTGACTGAAGCGCATCGGGGGTCCCGACTCGGGCCAGAATGCTGTGCGCACACTCAGCTCACTCCCACAGCCACTGTCGCTCCCCCCGGGGGACCTGGCCCAGGGAGGGGCCCCAGGGCTGCCCTCCCCATTCTGAATTTAGAGCTTCCAGGCTTCCTTGCTTCTGGAGTCAGAGGATTTGGGTCTGAATCACTGTCTGTCAGCTGCGCCTCCTTTAAACCTCTCCAAGCTTCACTTTCGCCATCTGCAAAATGAGGATGTGAAATCCACTCGCCCCACTTGGTGGCTGTCAGGCTCGAACAGAGCTGCAAGTTTAAGGGTTTACAGGCAGTACCCTCTACCGGACATCCAAGGGGGCCTCAGTGACACTGACCAGTGGAAGCACCTGTGCCCTCAAAGAAAGGGGGGGGCCCAGCCCACTGCAGTTTTGTTCTCTGAAACCCACATTTAAATGAACTGTGACATAAAAATAGACTCAGGATGGCAGGCTTTTAAACCAGAAGGCTCTTTGCCTAAAGGATTCATGGCAGAATCTCTTTAAATAAATTGCACTGAA